ATATTTTATTTTACTAAATTAGTTAGTTTATAGCATAGTAATTAGTTAGCCGTGACAAAAGAAATTTTGTATAAATAAATAGACTTTTTGCTTATGTTATAAATTAACTCTTTTGCAGATTTGTAAACTCTTTTGCAAATACGAGTTTCAATATTAATAAAGGAATCATTTAAAGCTTATATCTTTCTGCCTTTTCGTGTCTTTATATAGTCTGACATGATCCTTACACATTATTTGTAATAGAATTCATCATCTGAATTCTTTAATTAAATTGTTTATAATCTCGTCTTTTAAGTCTTCATACTTGATAGATTTGTTTAAGTCTAACGTGTAAATTTGATAAAGTTAAGAGTTAGGCAGATCCTAACGACTTGACCACAGTAGACCGCAGTTAGTAACCTCGAGTAGAGACTTGATAACGTGACTACCTTAAGCTGAAGAATTCCACAGTGACAACGCCTATTTTTGAAACAAAACATTAGATCAATATCCTACTTTATATAAGGAATTTAGTAGTGAAAATTTTGATTATTACGGAATTACTGATGAGAAATTATATCCATTATGCAAGTTAAATTATGATGATGAAGAAAGCATAGAAGGTAGATATAAAACCAGATCCTATTTTATTAAATGTGAACAGCGTGAACTTAAGATAACTGCATAGTCTCATTATTTTACAATACTATATTTGCTCATGCTTCATTATGATATTTTTTACAGGACTAATTCATATTAACTATTACCTAATTTAAATTGATTCGCAATCATAGAAAAAAGTCAACATGTTCAAGTCTAATAAAGTATTAACCCCCAAATATCTGGATTGGCATGCCAAAATAACTGGTTTACCAAGTATTTTGACAGATAGGATTTGGTTCAACTTATACAAAAAATATAAAAAAGAAACTGGATATAAGCCATAGCAATTATCAAAAGCCCACCTTCTCATAAATTCGAAGCCAGAAAACAAAAGTATCCTATTTATCTTTTTCTGAGCAATGTGAAGAAAAAGGGCCTATTACTTTCGAAGCCAAACCCAATCCAGAATTAATTATCAAATCCGTCTTAGAGCATTTCCCATACTTGAAATTCGGAAATAGTTTCAGAGGGATTGATAATTATGATTTTACATCACCTCAGCCGTGGAGTTCACCATGCCCTATTTGTGATGGAAAACATGGGAATTATGGATTACATGACTCATGATACTGCGAAAATGGGAATCAGTTCCCTTATGATCCTGAATTAGCGAAGTTGCTATCTCAAAATAAGTTGGAATATTGTCTTACCTACAACACTTCAAGCAATAAACTCAAGTTCGCGATTGTAACAGAAACTTTATCATCATATACAGTGGGCTAGTCTTGCACTTGTATTTATTTTTATCACTCGCATATATAAATTAATAAACACTCATCACCTGATAATCAGTTTTAATCCACGAAAAAGTGATTATTTTTCTGATGTCACAAGAAATTGGAGTAAAAAATGTTCACGTGAACTTGATGGTCTGAAATTCGATATTACGTAATTTTTTCCCGTCGATTTGTAAAACCCGAGGAAACAGAGTTACAGCTTTGCCATAAAAATGAAGATTGCGAAAAAAATTCTTAATCAATTAAGATTTCCCGGTTAGCATGTGCGGGTGAAATTCAATGTAAAAAGACTGCTACTGACCTTTACGTTGCGTTTTGATGCAGAATACTGGAGTGAAAATACTCCAAGTCTCGAGACTTTTTTGAGGTACCGAAGAACGACGAGTCCAGATGAGCAACTTAAGAAAGATGCTGAGCATTTGAATTACATTAAAGACCTCGAAAAAATCTGCAAATTTTATACATATAAAAAATATATAAAAGCGCTTGATGATTATAAAGTATTATTTATTTATTTATTTTGTTTTTTGATGAAGGCAGAGCCAAGGATACATCTTCAACTACTGTTGCGGGTTCCGAACTTGCAATGGGAACGGTTTCGACTCCGTTGACGAGCATACGATCCTGATCTGAGTGGTATGGACGCCTGCGTTCTCCTCTGGGGGGAGCCTCCACGGTTCAATGTCTGCACTTCGGCTCTGTCCGGGTCCTAGATGCTCCAGAGGACCAGAGCGAGCGTTGTATCTGTGACTCTGTGTCTGTGAGACAACACGTCTTCAACTACTGTTGCGGGTTCCGAACTTGCAATGGGAACGGTTTCGACTCCGTTGACGAGCATACAATCCCGATCTGGGAAGTATGGACACTTGCGTTCTCCTCTGGGGAGCCTCCACGGTTCAATGTCTGCACCTCGGCTCTATCCTGGGTAGATGCTCCAGAGGACCAGAGCTAGTGTTGTGTTTAATCATCACCTTCGTCTTTCCTAAGATTCTTACAAATCGTATTTGTAATATTGTTATCTGTTATTGTTATTAAAATTCATATAATTCTTATTCTTTGGGAAAACATCAGCATGAGACGAAGTCAGATTCTATCGAAATATTCTGGGAAGAGCAAACTGAACTACAACGGATCAGGGTTCTAGAGGTTGTTCTATATCCAAGTTGCATTCAAAACACATAGTAAGCTATTTATAGTGACTGTCTTTTTTAGTTGCAAGGTGCCGGTGACATGCTGAAGCTTGGAAATGATCATCTCACGAAAAGTGCTGTTGTTTCCCAAGAACTGCAATTGGGTATCCTCGGCCATAGAGTTAGAGCTATGTCAAAAAAGGAAGAAGGAAGTGAACTTGTAGGTCTTTAGCTATTTCAATTATACAATTAAAAGATTCCTCTTTTTAACCATGAATATATTGTTTTAATGACTTGCTTAGGAGGGAGAAGCTTCTTCAACAAATCTACAAAGGAAAAGACCAGCTGAGGAATCCTCTCCCGTAATCACTCCTCCCAATCTTCGGGATCGCACTCCTGCTCAACATCCTCGCGTACAAAGTCAGTCTGATACAGAGGATGGCGATTTTGATGATTACAACGAAAACGAGGAAGAAAAGGAAGTCAATGAAAACGAGGAGATATCAACCGAAGTTCAACTCATTATTTCAAAGATGGAAAATGTGAACTGTCGTCTTTTCAAATATCGTATCGTAAACCTCTCCGAAAAAAATTTAGTTGACCCAGTAAACACCGTTTTTTCTAAAGACGATAAAAAAAGAATGAGAAAATTCTGGGAGGAAGTATGTATTATTACTGTCACATCGGTTTTAGATTAATAATTTTGCATGTTCTTTCAGATGGAGCCATCTGCCGAAGAAAAACAGAATACGGTGCGTCGATCAAAATGGGAAGGAAGCATCAAACCTCTAGTTAATAAGTATGCGCTTGCTATTGAAGTGAAAGCGGAAACTATTTTTGATGATAATGTTCGGTCATCATCAATAAAGATTATTTTCGAATCGCCATTTGAAGACGAGTTTGATTTCAAAAAACATTATGAGTATTTATGGGTGCAGGATGTCTATCGGCGGTTGTAAGCATACTGTATATCTTATTGCTTAGTATTATAGATCACAGTCCATTAATTCTCATGTTTCACTTTAGTATATGCCTGTTCAACTCTCCTTTTAATATGCTTCGCGACGCGAACACGTTGGAGATCGCTTATAGGGATGCATTTGTTAACCCTCTGATTCCGAAAGCATTTGATGATCTGAGCGACAAAATCAGATTTCAAATGTATGTTATTATATTATGTTTGGTTTCGTTTGTACCATATATGATAAACTCTTAATTTATTATTATTTGTCCAGCGGAGAGATAGAGAGCAAATTACGTAAAAAACAACGAAATGAAACAAAAGGTCAAAATCCTCGGGTAAATTCTGGATCAAAGCATGACGGGATCCTAAAAATTTACATGAACGCGAGTGAAATGTAGATCGGGTTTATGGAAGTTGTAGGAAACGCTATGGCTGAGGATATTACTGGATATCACGGAGATATGAAAAAATTGTTTAAAGGTTTGTAATTTTCAGATATTCGTGTCTTGAAGACCTTATGCAGAAAGCTCATGGAATCCGTTATTTTTGTAGTAATGCAGATTTCGATATTTTATCAACGTCAGCACCATCTAATACGTGGTGCATCAGAAGATCAACTTCTATGCATTCAAAGTTTCGGTTTGCTTGTTTACCGTATGTAATGTTTGTGTTGTGTTAGTTGCTGATTTAATTAAATAATTTAATATTTTGTCTTGTCATTTTAGAACGTGAAACAACAATATACACTATGCACAGAGTTAAAGGAGGGTTGCATGTCGTTGACATTCTTACCAATTTCACGATCCCAGATAACAGGGATCAAGTGTACGTGATAGATGAAATCATAGAGAAAGCATATTTATTTAAAGTATGAACCCCGGTAATTGCTTTTTATAACATGATTCTGATCTAACTTTATATTTGAAATTATAGAGTCGAGTTATGGATTACTATATAAAGTTGCAAGAAGTATCGCGGAAAGTGCAGAAATATTCACCATCTGACGAAAGCCCTCTAGAAGCGTCACCATCCAGAAGGAAATCGGCAAAACAGTAACGTAGACAAGGGAATGTTCACTCACAATCGAAGTTGACGTTTTTTGTATCCTTTATCTCTTTTATTAAGTGAGAAACATATATAAATGGGAAATTATGCGTTTAATTTACGAATGTTCACGATTAATATATAGAGAAAGTTCACTACTTCACTATTCCCTTTTGCATATTGAACGGATTATGAAACCTAATATTTTACATCACATTTTACATTATCATGTCATAATTTGAAAAAAAATAAAACACTAGCACATTGATTAGCTAAATAATAAATGTAATTTGTTCATTAAATATTATTTGATTTGCCACAATATATGCTATGCGCAGTAATACGTCTTTGAAATTAAATGGACGTTACTTCTATTGGTTAGAGTCTTCACGATTATCATGTATCGGAGGATACAATTTTCCCTTTTTTTATTTATGATCGGTTCTTATTACATCAGTGAGGAAAATATCAAAAAGTTATTCTAATCTATTTAGTTAGATCATATAACGATAAGCAAAGTCTATTCATCTTTATTGGTTGGAAGTGAGAGGAGTCTTCACGATTATTATATGACACAGTAGTTTATTTCTTGTCCGGCTTATCAATTCAACCATGAAGTATAAATAGACTGCCATAAACTCTTTTTTCGCCTTAATGGCATCCCAGGAATCGATTGCATTATTTCTAATGAGTTTGGGTCATAGAGTGGCTCCCAATCTTTTCTCT